GGGAGGCGGAGCTTGCAGTGAGCCGAGATCGCGCCACTGCACTCCAGCCTGGGCGACAGAGCGAGACTCCGCCTCAAAAAAAAAAATAATAAATAAATAAATAAATAAATAAATAAATAATTTTAATTTAATAATTAATTATAATTATTAGCTATCTTAACCTAATTTTCTGATGCACCACAATATAAATTATTTGCACTACCTGAGTGACCTTGCTTAGAACAAATGATCCCATCTACTTAAACTTTGTCCTTTCTGCTGGTCTCATTTAGATATACATTGCTCTATGACTTCCTCTAAAGCAGCTTTTCTTTAGTTTTTAGCACCTATGTGATCTTTTCTATTATTCTCTATTTGGTCATTCATAATTATCTTTCTTAACTATACACACACACACACACACACACAATTTCTCAACAATATTTTAACATTTTCAAAGGTAGAGACCATGATACATGTATTTTCAAATTCTTTTTTTTTCTTTTTCTTTTTCTTTTTCTTTTTTCTTTGCGATAGCCTCACTCTGTCGCCCAGGCTGGAGTGCAGTGGCACCCTCATAGCTCACAGTAACCTTGAACACCTGGCCTCAAACAGTCCTCCTGCCTTAGCCTCTCAAAGTGCTGGGATTACAGGCAGGAGCCACAATGCCTGGACAGTAATATCTAAATATTACTAAAATATTACAGTGACTTTTTTTTAGCTCTCTGATCTTATTTTTTTTTTTTTTCCCTTAATTGTCGCATAATCTCAAAGGTCTGAACAGAGATTCTAGACTCCTTCCCTCCCCTAGATTTTATTTTATTTTATTTTATTTTTGTTTTGTTTTTGTTTCCCCTGGATTTTAGCAAGGGAAACAGAAAGAGGCCTAGGCAGAGCCAAGCACTTCGATATAAGGGAGGACTGTATATTGTACAATTCTAGGGGCATCATTCACAGTTTATTTGTAAAGATAGCAAATTTTTTTTTTTTTTGACCTATGACAGTGAAGTGTCTTAAGGAAATGGAAGCTTTTTCTAATTTCCACAGGTCCCCTTTGGGTGAGCTGTAGGGCAGCCTGCCTGCCTCTTTCATGTCTAAGATGATTGACAGTGATAACATCCAATTACAACGTTTATTTTTTAATTTGTGATACTGAAATGTGGGCTTCTTCTATTGCCAAACACTTATTACAAAGGGGCAAACATTCACATAGTCCCTTATTATGACTTATGTAAATTATCTTGTGGTACTGGAAAAAAAGAATCCTTATTATTGCATGTCCACTTAGTGACAGTTTTCAAAACTGTTTGTTTATAGAAAATGGATTAATTATAATATGGCAAATGGCCAAGAAAGCCCTGGCTTGTTGACAAAGATCTCCAGAGTATTTGGGATTCTAGCTGTGGGTAAAAGAAAGAAATAGGGAATGTTAGAAGAGGTACAAGTGAAAAAAAAACAGTTCTTTTGAACATGGTAATGTGAAGTCCCATGGTTAGCAGGTAGAGCTGTCCAGGAGGCAGGTGGCTACAAGAATGAAGCTTGAGGAAGAAGTATGGGCTGGACAAAATCTCTTTGTAATAGGTAGATGGATGAAATCATGCTGGGAGAGCAAGTAGAGCGAGAAGAGTAGTAGACAAGTGGGCCAAGAGTAGAACCCTGAGAGTCACCTACATTGAAGAGGCCTAAGGAGGAAGAAATGGAGGTAGGAGGAGAACTTGGGAAACAGGCTAATAGGAAAGCCAAGGGAATCAACATTCTAATGTGTGAAGGGAGATATGCATAGCATCAAAGGCAGCAGAGAGATCTAGTGAGGTTAAATGAGAAAGAAGTAATGTAATTCTGTACACAATTAGAAAAAACTCACAACAATTTGGAGGTTCTTGGTGACCTTAATTAGATCAGTTTCAGTGGAATGTTATGGGCAAATCCACGTAAGTTCTTAGCAGACTTCCCAAAAGTGCTAACAGGAATCTCCAGGTACAATCCCTATAATACCAGTTTGGGAAAGCCCAGTGACCCTTATCAGCTCAAGTGTCCAGGAAAGTTCTAAGGGATCTAAGAGGATCTGGAGTCCAAATGGGGCTTGGCAGTGGATTGAGTGAAGAAGAGATGACACAAAGGTGGACACACAGAATTAAGAAACCAGCAAGATGCCGGGCGCGGTGGCTCACGCCTGTAATCCCAGCACTTTGGGAGGCCGAGGCGGGTGGATCACGAGGTCAGGAGATCGGGATCACGGTGAAACCCTGTCTCTACTAAAAATACAAAAAATTAGCCCGGCGTGGTGGCGGGCGCCTGTAGTCCTAGCTACTCGGGAGGCTGAGGCAGGAGAATGGCGTGAACCCGGGAGGCGGAGCTTGAAGTGAGCTGAGATCCCGTCACTGCACTCCAGCCTGGGGAACAGAGCGAGACTCCGTCTCAAAACAAAAAACAAACAAAAAAAAAGAAATCAGCAATATTAAATGGAATTAAAAGGAATCATATAAACTTCCATTTTTGAGTATTTTCAAATAACAGGCTGCTCAAATTCAAGATGGGAGAGATTTAGCTTGGCAACAATTGCTTTAAAATGATCCAGAGACTTTAGTTGATTGTAAACTTAAAATGGGCCAAGAGTATGACACAGTTCTTAAAAAAGCTAGCACATGCTGGGCATGGTGGCTCATACCTGTAATCCCAGCACTTTGGGAGGTTGGCGTGGGAGGACTGTTTGAGCCCAGGAGTTTGAGGCCAGTCTAGGCAATATAGCTAAGACCAAAACTCTACAAATAATGTAAATTAGCCGTGTGTGCCTGTAGTTTCAGCTATCCAGGAAGGTGAAGTGGAGGATCCCTTGAGCCTGGGAGGTTGAGGCTGTAGTGAGCTGAGAGGTGCCACTGCACTCCAGCCTGGGCAATAGAAAAAAAAAAAAAGGCAATCTTTATATTGAAAAAAAAAAAATACACAGCACAGGATTGGGCTATGACAATAGAGAAGAGAAAGTGGAGATGCAAAGAGAGTACCTTTTTCTGGAACTAGGGACAAGTAGGAAAAGAGGCATACAAAAGAGCAATTAAAGGGAGATAAGTTTATTAGAAAAAAATCTTAAAAATGGAAGATATTTGAATATGTTTATAAGCTGAGGGGAAGGATCTATTAGAGAGGGAAATAACACAGGAAAGAAGGGATAATTAATGATACAAGAATCTGATGAAGCTGGGAGGAGTTGATTTTGAACTGGAATGGGAATGCCTCATCCTTTTGGAGAGACTAGAAGGAAGGCTGAAAGGATGGGAGTGACTGTAGATATGTTGATATGCTTGGGAGGGAATTCAGGCACTCGGGAAGGGCGCAGGCTGATGTTTTCCACTTGTTTGATGAAGTAATACACCAGACGGACAGGCTCTGCTGTTTCTGACACCGTGTGGAAGGAGACGGAGCAAGGAAGACGTTGGAAGGAAGGTTGAAAGAAGAGTGCCAGATGGACCTCGTGGTCTTTGTGGTGGGATCAGGAAATTGGTACTTTTTTCTCTGTCTAAGAGCAACACTATCCAAGAGGCTCAGAACCCCTTAGTTGCACTGCTGGCTTTTCCTACCTGCTCAGGACTGTGAGGCCAGACTGTGTCAGGGTCATGCTCAAAAATCATAGACTTAAAAAAACCCACAAAAAACTTGAAGTGGAATGTTTAAATTTATTGAGGAAAAAAAAGGCCTTGAGAGACAAGCATTTTGATACTCTTATTCTTGCAATCCATAAAACTTCCTGTAAAAAATGAACAACTTTAGGCCAGGCGCGGTGGCTCACGCCTGTTATCCCAGCATTTTGGGAGGCTGATCATGAGGTCAGGAGATCGAGATCATCCTGGCTAACACGGTGAAACCCCGTCTCTACTAAAAATACAAAAAAAAAAAAAAAAAAAATTAGCCGGGCGTGGTGGTGGGCGCCTGTAGTCCCAGCTACTCCGGAGGCTGAGACAGGAGAATGGCTTGAACCCGGGAGGCGGAGCTTGCAGTGAGCCGAGATTGTGCCACTGCACTCCAGCCTGGGCGACGGAGCGAGACTCCAGATATAGTTTTTCTTTTTTTTGAGACAGTCTTGCTCTGTCACCCAGGCTGGAGTGCAGCGGTGTGATCTCGGTTCACTGCAACCCCCTCCTCCTCAGTTCAAGCGATTCTCCTGCCTCAGCCTCCTGAGTAGCTAGGGTTACAGGCGCACGCCACCACGCCTGGCTGACTTGTATTTTTAGTGGAGACAGAGTTTCACCATGTTGGCCAGGCTGGTCTCGAACTCCTGACCTCAGGTGATCCACCCGCCTCGGCCTCCCAAAGTGCTGGGATTACAAGCGTGAACCACCGCACCCAGCCACGGATACAGTTCTTTATCAGACTAGTTAAAATTAAAGCAAAAAAAAAAAAGCAAAATAAAACACTAAGAATCACAGACTTTTTAGTGACCGAGGCTGAAGCAATTGTTGCCAAGCTAAATCTCTCCCATCTTGAATTTGAGCAGCCTGTTATTTGAAAATACTCAAAAATGGAAGTTTATATGATTCCTTTTCTACAAGTTATATGATTCCTTTTCGCCGTTCTACAAACACGGCCAGAAGGTCCATCGAGAGGCAGGCATTACACACAAAAAATAAGCTTCTTTCTGCCCTCAGGACTGTATGGAGGAAAAAGACTACCAAAATCAGTATCTACTACAGGATGAGATAAGCAACGTGAGGAGAGGCACAAAATGCCGTGAGGTGACTGAAAAAACCAGGTCCTCTCATTCTGAGAGGAGGAGCCCGATTTTCCCAAAGTTTTAAAAGAAATAAATAGGACAAGAGTCAAAGAATCACACTCGAAGAACTTTGTAAAGTGCGCCCTCCCGCCCAACTTCCCGCCTTTGGCGCCGACGACCATAGAGCCTTCACTCGTTCCAGTCTGCGCGCGCACGCCGGGGCGCAACCCGCCCAAAGCCGCAAGACCATCACCGCGAGAGGGCGCGAGCCCGAACCTGCCTACGGAAGTCCCGCCCTCACTTCCGGCGGCGGAGGATTGGGAGGGACTGAAGCTCGCTTCCGGCTTGGGAAGTGCGGGGCCATCGGCACGTGTGTCATTTCTCGGATTTCTGTATTAACCCTGCTTCTGGTGAACTTGTGTGGCCGGCATTCCTTTAAGGCCTAAGGATGAAGGCGGTAAGTGTCCTTGGAAGCCCGGTCCCCGCAGCCTAGGGCCCCTCCGGGTGATAGGGTCACTGCCTGAGTTAACTTTTAGGCAGGTTTTCACCCGTGTCTATGGGGCGGTGGTTCATAGACTGGGGGCTTTCTCGTCCTTACACCGAGTTCATCCTTGGTTACCCACTGTGTGCGCGCACGACTTCAGGGTATCACGAAGAGACAGGCACGGAGTTTTGCATCGGTGGGATTTCAGACTTCGAAGGAATTTTTCAAGACCGTCTTTCGAACTTGTTTTTCACAAATGAGAAGCAGGTTCCTGCCCTCAGCAAGTTTATGATGTGAATCACGGTACCCATAAAGGGTAAAGAGACAGAAAAGCAAGTGATTTGCCCTGGTTCTAACAGAAAATAAGAGGTAGTCCTGGGGTTCAGGACTAGCTTTGGGATTTCTGAATGAGGAGTCACCGGCAAGAGAAGTGGAATCCAAAGATCCGAATTCAGTTTTGCCCTCCTTAGTTTATGGGTCCTTTTGGCAGCTTCATCAGTAATGTGAGGATAACAGCAGTCAGTACTCAACTAGGCATTTGGAGGTGATTTGTTGGAGCACTTTGTAAATGACAAAATCGTAAATTAAGTTTTATTAAAGACAGCCAGCATTTTGCTTTGAATGTGTTAAACTACAGGTGTTAAACTAGCCTTGAAGCCACTTTCCGCTACTAGATCAGTGGTTCTTAACCTGCTTGGGCGTCGTAGAGCCAGCCCTTTGAGTTGCTGTGGATTGGGGTCACAGAAAGACCTCAGATTGAATAATTGATGCTGTAGTGCTCTTCTGTAGGATTAAAGCCATCGTTTGGTTTTAGCTCTTACCTGCAAGTCCATGGCTGTGGGACGTTAAAATTGTGGAATTGGTTTGATGAAATTTGTAATCAGTTCTCTTTAAGCTGATTTAAAAAATAAGTTTGTGGGTATGCAGTATTCTTTCTGTTGTTTTCTAGAGAAGAAATAAAAAACAGATCCCAAGCTTTCGCAAGTTAATAAAAACTAGTAAAGTCAAACTTGAAAACAAGCTAAAAAATAAGCAATTTAAACAACAAAGCACTCTCAAGAAGTACCGAAAAGAACAGAGGAAACTAAGGCAAGCGGTGAAAGATGCTGTGTCTAAGAAACCCATTCCATTGGAGAACCCAAAGGAAAAGCGACCAGGTAATTGTGAAAACATCATGTGCTCTGGTTTCCACTGATTTATTCTGAAGTGTTCTTCATGGAAATAACTTTGCTTTCTAATAATCGCTTTTCTTGTTCTCAGATCTTCCTAGAGTGGGTAAGGGTAGTAGTCCTATAGGACTGCTATAAAGCATGTATGCTTTATCACAGTCAGTATGAGAACACATTTCAGTACAGTATTCATTCAAGTTTCTGTTTTTAGTTTGTCTGGAAAGCAGATCTGAAGATGCAGTACTTGGGAAAACAAACTGAAAGTACTCTTGTGCATAAATGTTAGGCAGTGTGCCAGTGCTGCCACTTTCCCATTCACTAGCAGTTAGGTAAGAACATTGCTTGTCTCTGGTTCATTCTTCACAGTATTGCCAAGGTACACTTCTTTTCTAAACTTCTGACTTTCTTTTCATGTGGAAACTTGGGGTGAAATTGAGTTGTAATTGTCATGGTTATTTTGTAAAACTAAAAACTCTTAAGTACTCAAAACATGTAAGGAATATGACTTTTGAGTCAGGCTAGTTCAACAACTTTACTGGTACTTTTAGGGTATTCTTATTTGACTGTATCAGGTTATTAGGCAACTATTCAGTCTTCCCAGGTCCATCTTTTTAAAAATTAATTAATTTTTTTTTTTTTTTAAATAGACAAGGTCTTGTTCTGTCACTGAGGCTGGAGTGCAGCGTGCAAAAATAGCTCACTACAACCTTGACCTCCTGGGCTCAGGCGATCCTCCTGCTTCAGCCTCTGAAAGTGCTGGAATTGCAAGGGTGAGCCTCTGCACCCAGCTAAAGTTTTTTTTTTTTTTTCCTAATTTTGTGAGTACATAGTAGGTGTATATATTTATGGGATACGTGAGATACTGTGATACAGGCATACAATGCATAATAATCACATCAGAGTAAATGTAGTATCCATCACCTTAAGCATTTATCTTTGTGTTACAAACAATTCAGTTATGCTTTTTTAGTTATTTTAAAACATACAGTAAATTATCGTTGACTATAGCCACCCTACCTATCAAATACTAGATCTTATTCTATCTTAAGTGTATTTTTGTACCCATTAACAATCCCTACTCCTATCTCCTCCAACTGCCTTTCCCAGCCAATGGTAACCATCATTCTACTCTCTTCATGAGTTCAGTTGTTTTAATTTTTAGCCACCACAAGTAAGTGAGAACATGTGAAATTTGTCTTTCTGTGCCTGGCTTATTTAACTTGGCATAATGGCCTCAGTTTCATCGCTGTTGTTGCACACAGGATCTCATTCTTTTTTGTGACTGAATAAGACTACATTGTGTACATGTACCGTACTTTCTTTTTTTGTTGTTTGAGACGGAGTCTCTCTCTGTCGCCAGGCTGGAGTGTAGTGGCTTGATTCCGGCTCACTGCAACCTCCGACTCCCCGATTCAAGTGTTTCTCCTGCCTTAGTCTCCCGAGTAGCTGGGATTACAGGCATGCGCCACCACGCCCAGCTAATTTTTGTATTTGTAGTAGAGCCGGGGTTTCACCATGTTGACAGGCCAGGATTGTCTCGATCTCCTGACCTCGTGATCCACCTGCCTCGGCCTCACAAAGTGCTGGGATTACAGGCATGAGCCACCGCGCCCGGCCCCATGTTTTCTTTATCCATTTATCTGTTCATGAACACTTAGGTTGTTTCCAAATCTTGGCTCTTGTGGATAGTGCTGAATGAACATGGGAGTGCAGATATCTATTTGGTATACTGATTTCTTTTTTTGGATACATGCCTAGCAGTGGGTGGGATCGTAGGATTATATAGTAGTTCTGTTTTTAGTTTTAGTTTTTTGAGGAACTTCCAAACTTTTCTCCATAGGGGTTGTGCTAATTTACATTCCCACCAGCAGCGTATGAGGGTTCCCTTTTCTCTGTATCCTTGCCAGCATTGTTACTGCCTGTCTTTGGATAAAAGCCTTTTTAACTAGGATGAGATGATATCTCATTGTAATTTTGATTTGCATTTCCCTGATCATCAGTGATGTTGAGCACCTTTTCATATACCTGTTTGCCATTTGTATGTCTTCTTTTGAGAAGTGTCTATTCATATCTTTTGCCTATTTTTTAATGGGATTATTAAATTTGGAAGGCTCATTTAAAGTAGATAGGAGTGCCATTCTGTGCAGTGTGTACATTTATATAGCAAGAGTTACTAGATTTTTTTTTCTCTGGAGACGGAGTTTTGCTTTTGTTGCCCAGGCTGGAGTTCAGTGGCATGATCTCTGCTCACTGCAATCTCTGCCTACTGGGTTCAAGTGATTCTCCTGCCTCAGCTTCCCAAGTAGCTAGGATTACAGGCATGCGCCACCATGCCCGGCTAATTTTTTGTATTTTTAGTAGAGATGGGGTTTCACCATGTTGGCCAGGCTGGTTTTGAACTCCGCCTCAAGCAATCCGCCCGTCTCAGCCTCCTAGCGTGCTAAGATTACAGATGTGAGCCACTGCACGCAGCCAAGATTTATGAGTTTTAATGGGTCAGGAAGAATTGTAAGTTCTACTAGGAAAGACGCTAAGATTGTTTTATTCATACTTGAATCCTCAGCACTTCAAACAGTGCCTGGCACTTAGCTGACTTTTTTTTTTTTTTTTTTAAATAAAAAATAAAAGGAGATGGAGAAAGAGAGCAAGACACAGAGTGAGCAGAAAGAGAAGTTAGAATGATCTGTAGTTGGGATTTTGTTAGATGTGAGTGCCTGAAGTGTTGAAAGAAAAATAGTTGAGGATATTGGCAAGAGCGTGGTTGAAGTGATAATCTTGCAATCTAAGTGAGGGAGTGAAGACAGAACACACTGGTAGATAGAAAGTGGAGTGGTCAGTGGATTGAAAGGTTATATAGTTGGTTAAGGAAGAAGTAGTGTGGAAGTAACTGAATGGGAACTGGAAGGACAAAAGCTTGTGGTCAGAGAGAGAAGTGAGCACCAGGGTTTGGAATGTGGCCATTGGAGGGGCTGGCTGAAATGGAATACAAAGTGAAAGTAATTGGAGATGAGAAGGAGCTGAGGGGCTAAGTCATTGGCTCTCGATGCCCTGAAAGGCATTTCAGAGTGTGTGGAGACATTTAGTTTTTGGTTGTTACAATAACCTGAGAATGCTATTGGCATTTAGATTGCAGGAGTCAGAGATGCTAGCATTTTTCCAGATTCAGAACACCCCAGTATGATAAATAATTGTTTGCCTAGCATGTCAGTAGTGCTTCCATTTAGAAACACTGGGCTCAGCTGGGAGCCATGGCCCATGCCTGTAATTCCAGCATTTTGGGAGGCTGGAGTGGGAGGATTGCTTCAGAAAGCATAAACTTTTCCTGTTTAAACCCAATATGCAGAGAGTTCTACATCTCTGATACTTGTTTCTAATTTTTCTTTGTGTGTGTGTGGTGCAGGTAAAAGGATTGAGAGGGAAGAAGAGGAAGAAGAAGCCCTTCCTTTAGATATGATGGATGAAGATGACTTACAGTTAATGAAGGATTTAGGACAAAGAGCATCTTTTCTAACAAGAGATCTTTCTTCTAGGTAATACTTCATGTGGGTTATAATCATTCATATCCATATACTGTTAAAAACTTGGTTCTGAATTTCACTTAGGTGGTTCAAGGTGTTTACCTTTGAGCACAATGTTTACAAAGAATAAACTATTATTTAGCTTATTTCCTAAATAAAGGAGGTTCATGTATAAGACAAGCTGATTTCATTTAATGTACATCTTTCTTTTGCGTCTGAATAGTGAAGTAGAGTGAATGGGGGAAGAATGCTGTTCTCATTTTGAGGTGTTGGCAGAATAGTTCTGAGTTCTTTATGGCTATGATCTCACTTAATCCTCATTACCCTGCTAGGTAGTTCTTATTCCCACTTCCAGAGAGGAAACTGATGGTTCCTTGCAGTCACAAGTATCTGGAATTTAAACTTGGACCTTTTTTTAACTCCAAAGTCTGTGGTATACTCTAAATATTTTGGGAAAGTAAGAGTCACACTTGGTTCTATGGACTGTTCTTGAGAAAGAATCTGCTGTAACTTTCACCTTTATTTTGCATCTAGAGGGAAAACTAGATGTAGCCAGAGTTAGAGTCTGTGTGGTAGGCTGTTTACCCATTTCATTTATTCATTTGCTGTTTGAGTGCTTGCTATGTGCCAGACACTGGCCTAAGTGCTAATATCCATATACCTATTGAAAGTTGGCTGGTGGTTTATTTTTCTGTACTTTTGAAATGATAGGTCTCTAGATACCTTTTTAGATCTATTAAGACTGAAAATTGATCTTTTTTTCCCCCGCAGTGAGCCTGTTCATGCGAAGAAACGGAAGCATGAACACATTATAGATAAATATGAAAAAATACCAAGAACTCTGCAAACTGCACCAGAGAAGGAACTGATTCATTTGCTTCCTATCAAAGATAAAAGTGGTATAATCCCACAGACTAGGGAGAAGCCAGGTGAATTTAATAAGCTGGTAATATTAGTTGAACTTTTACCCCCTTACTGATATAACGTGTTTTTTTTTCACTCAAAATTTAATTTTAGTTTGATTTTACCCATATCTGCAAAATATTCAATTAGTCTTATAGCAAGCTTGATGATTTGGGCCAGAATTATAGATGATTATCTCAGGTATCAATTTGTACTGTGAGGACAACTTAAGCTACAAGGTTCAGGTGATTTTCTTTTCACTAAATTTTGTTGTTTCTGAAACTAGAGCATATTAACTGTTCTTGGTTAGCTTTCTTTTTTAATGTATCTTTCATATGTGAAATAAAACAGAAAAGTTCAGATATCAAAGATGTGAAATTACGTGGTTTATAACAAAGTGCATACCTATAAAACTACCATCCAGACAAGAAAAAAAATTACTACTAGCTTCTAGAAACCTCCCTTGTGCTCACCTCAATCACTAATTGCTCTCTTCCCATAAAAGTAATTGCTATCCTGAGTTTTATCGTAATCACCTCCTAGCATTTCTTTAGTTTTACCACTTAAGTATATATCACAGTTTTAATACACATGTTTTCCATATAGTTACTGATAGTAACAAAGATGAAGAGGATCAAGAAGAAGAGAGGGAACTTGAGGAAGGTAATATGTCTTTACAGTTACTAAATTGTGAATTGAGAAGTAGTTTTTTTGCTTAATAGTAAATGTGAGTTAATTTTAGATAAAATCTGGAAGGTACATTTTGGAGTACTGCTCATTTCAAGGTCATTTTGAATATTTTTCCACATTTGAAAGCTTCATCTTGTGGAATTATGAATAGATTCTTTGTTTTTTTAATTATGGAAAATTTTACACAATCATATTTGTGGTATCTAGGCATACATGAAGTGTGTCTTGTTAATTATTACTGTTCTGAATTCCTTTTAATTGTAAGAGAAAGACTAACTTATACAAATAACTGTTAACTTTTTAGCCTTAAATTACAAAAGCGATTATGTAGTGTGAAGTCATTTTGGTTTGTTTTTAGCGCAATTATGCTTGTGTATGTTTCATATAATTGAATGTCAGTTTCTGTTATCTAGGACAGTTTAATCAAAATTGAACTGAAATAATGCATTTTATTGTTTGAAATTATATTAGTTTGGAATTTGTGACAGAACAATCTAAATTTTACTTTTGCTTAGCAGACCTCATTAATAGCAAAAATGAATTACAGGTCAACTGTTTAACTGTTTGCAGTCACCCATCATAAAACCATTACAGATTATGCTAGTGTTGATTAAATCTAGTTCCCTATGAATTTCTTAAGGCGGGCATGTTTTTCTGTAGCCCAAAACTACGAAGTATTAGTTTGTGTAAAGTAATATATAGTGTTGAAAACAAAGAAGAATATTCTGTACTTAAAAAGAGACTAAATCAGATTATTCTATTCATTAATTAATAAGAATTATTTTGGGCTTATTAGCATAGAAGCTAAGAATATGAGATCTAAGCTGGTTGCACTGGCTCATGCCTGTAATCCCAGCCCTTTGGGAGGCTGAGGCAGGAGGATCACCTGAGCCCAGGAGTTCGAGACCAGTCTGGGCCACATGGTGAAACCCCATCTCCACAAAAAAATACCAAAATCAGCTGTATATAGTGGCTCACAGCTGTGGTCTCAGCTACTGGGGAGGCTGAGGTGGGAGGATTATTTGAGCCTGGGAGGTGGAGGCTGCAGTGAGCTGTGATAGTGCCACTGTATTCCAGCCTAGGTAACAAGTGAGACCCTGTCTGTAAAAAAAAAAAAAAAAAAAAAAGCTCTAGAATCAGACTGCCTGAGTTTGAATCCTGTTTCCCTTTGGTTTATGAGCTTAGCCAAGTTATTTTCTCTTCCTTTGCTTCAGTTTTCTCATCTATAAAAGGGGGCTAATGATAGTACCTGTATTGTTGAGGAGATGATGTGTAGTAATAAAGGCAAAATTCTTAGCTATCATCATTATTATTATTACTATAAAATATTAAGATTCTCGGACACTTGTAAGTAGAGGAATATGTAAGGGAACATCTAATCTGTTTTAGAGATCACTGAAGATCCTATTCAAGAGCTGACCATAGAAGAACATTTGATTGAGAGAAAGAAGAAATTACAGGAGAAGAAGATGCATATTGCAGCCTTGGCATCTGCCGTATTATCAGATCCAGAAAGTAATGTAGGTGGCATTAATTTCTTTAGGCTTTTTATATTAGGTATGGTGTAAATGCCTAATATTTTAAGATTCCCTTGTTACCTGTAAGCATACACTAAAAGGAAAAGCATTAACTAAACATAGTAGCTGGGTTAGAGTAAGAGAGTCGACAGAATCTTAGCTTAATGCTATGTCTGGACTTAATTTCTTTTGTAATCCTAGAAAAGTTACTTAAATTCTCTGAATCTTATTCTCTTCATCTTCTTATATGAAAATATTGGACATGTTATAACTCTAAAAATATTTAAGTCTATAAAATTATATTAGGGAGGAGGAACCTGTTAGCAAATTTGCTTGACTAACCTGTGGAGTTTTTAAAAACGAGCGCGCTACAGGGAAGTGTATGGAATTAGTTCAGGAATATTTGTAAGTTGAAAATATTTTAAGTGAACTGGAGCCAAAGTTAAAAGTGTTACTGTGCCATGTGTATAGTGGTGAGTTAGTGATGGTTATAACACATGAACTAGAGAAATCTGAGGTTTAATCTTGGCCCTGATAAGTACTATCTGTGAGACTTTGGGTAAGTTATTTATCCAAGACTCTTTCATCTCTAAAAAAGGACAGTATCTTTTTCAAAACTTTGTGGTGAGGGTTATATGATGAAATATACATGAAGTCATATAAAATGATACTATTATTATTGTTACGTTGGTGTCCCCGGCATACTATTATAACAAGTATTTGTGTATCAAATGATTTACATTTGTGGAAACAAATTTCATGTGGGAATGCTTTAGAGTAGTGTTTGTCCTTTTCTAATAAAGTGAGGGGAAGATCTAGAGCAGAATTAGGGAAGAGAGATTTGGAATATTTCTTATTTGTATTCTCTCAATCATTACAAAACCATAGGCATAAGAGATTGATCTAATTTTACAGCTGGAAAATTGAACATTAAAAAACCCAAGTGATTTGTTCCAGATTTTAACAGCCACTGAATTGGAACCCAGATCTTCTACTCAGGAACCTATGCTCACAGGCAATAGTAGTTTATCAAAGCAATCAAAACCACCTTTTGCATTATGCCATAGAAATTATCTTTGAAGCTAAAGTTAATGTGGCTATATTATATGTAATTCCTGATTAATTCATGTGTATGATTGATATATTTGGTTAATGTATATAACATTTTAGTATATTTTGAAAAGTGTTTTTAGAAAAATAGGAGACATGTACTTTAGGAAAATCCAGCTAAAAAGAATTTCCCAAAATAGCTAAATAATAAATTTAAACTAGTTTTTTAAGGTCTATATTTTTCTAACTATATAACAAAAATATGATTACTGATATAGTTTGGATGTGTGTCCCCTCCAAATCTTATGTTGAAATGTGATCTCTGATGTTGGAAGTGGGCCTGGTGGGAGGTGTTTAGATCATAGGGGTGGATCCCTCATGAATGGCTTGGTGCCATCCTTGTGGTAACAAGTGACTTCTTACTCTGGTAGTTCATGTGAGAGCTGGTTGTTTAAAAGAGCCTAGCACCTCCCCTATCTTTCCTGTGACATGCTGGCTCCCGGTTTGCCTTCTACCTTGTTCGTAAGTTTCCTGAGGCCTCACTAGGAGTAGAGGCTGGCACCAAGCTTCCTCTATAGCCTGCAGAACTATGAGCCATAATAAACCTCTTTTCTTTGTAAATTACCCAGCCTCAGGCATTTCTTTCTAGCAACACAAGAATGGACTAAGACAATTACCTTGTAACTTTATCAACTTATCTCTTGGTAAAGTGAGCAGTGTCTGGAGTTTGGTGAGGCTTGACTAGACTTGGAGTCATTGTGTGAATTCCGCTTATTTTGCCGGATGTGGGGCTGTTTTTTGTTCATAATTGTTTTGCCATGATTTCTCCAGCTTTATAAGCTATTTCTTTAACAGATTAAAAAATTGAAAGAATTACGTTCTATGCTGATGGAACAAGATCCTGATGTGGCTGTTACTGTTCGAAAGCTAGTAATTGTTTCTCTGATGGAGTTATTTAAAGATATTACTCCTTCATATAAAATCCGGCCCCTCACAGAAGCAGAAAAATCTACTAAGGTAATGCTAGATTGCTAGATATAATTACTATCTAAAATAACTGAACGTTTTGGAGAGATAGACTCTTTTTTTTTGAGACAGAGTTTTACTCCGTCGCCCAAACTGGAGTGCAGTGGCGTGATCTTGGCTCACTGCAACCTCTGCCTTCCCGGTTCAAGCGATTCTCCTGCCTCAGCCTCCTGAGTAGCTGGGATCACAGGCATGCGCCACCAGGCCCAGCTAATTTTTGTGTTTGTAGTAGAGACGGGGTTTTTCCACGTTGGCCAGGCTTGTCTCAAACTCCTGACCTCAGGTGATCCACCTGCCTCTGCCTCACAAAGTGCTGAGATTACAGGCATGAGCTGCCGCACCCGGCCTAAGCGACTGCTGCATTTTTTTTTTAATAGTACTGGGTGTATACTAGACAACCATATTTTATACTAATTTTGGGGTTTTAATATTCTGATTTTAAAAAATGATTGACCTTTTTGGTCTTTTCAGACCCGAAAAGAAACACAGAAGTTAAGAGAATTTGAAGAAGGCCTGGTTAGCCAGTACAAATTTTATTTGGAAAATCTGGAACAAATGGTTAAAGGTATATTAAATGTATCTTAAAAGTATGTAGCGTACATAGCCTTGATCATGAAGGTGAATTCTGTACAGTGTTCTGTGTTGTGTAGTGAGAGGCAGGTATGATCAGGAACAGAGTCTAGAGTCAGACTTCCAGGGGTCAAAGCCTGGCTCCACCACTTACTACCTATGTGATGGGAAAATTACATAGTCTTTCTGTGTCTCAGTTTTTGTCTATAAAATGGAAATAATTATAGCACTCACCTTCCAGGATTATTGTAAGAAGTAACTGAGTTTGTAGATATGAGGTGCTTAAAACAGTGCCTAGCATGTGCTATATACTATATTTTATCAACTATTAGTATTATTGCTGCAGTTTTTAGTAAGCAGTTGTATTTTTGTTGACAATGCTTTTAACAAAATATATTGTTATGAACAGTTGGGATTTATTCTGCTGTTTTCTATTTGGAGGCATGGTAGTCAGGGAAGAACGATAACTAGAGGCCAGGTGTGGTGGGTCACACCTGTAACCCCAGTGCTTTTGAAGACCGAGGCAAGAGGATTGCTCCAAGCCAGGAGTATTGCTCCACGCCAGGAGTTTGAGACCAGCCTGAGGAATGTAGTGAGACTCCTGTCTCTAAAAGAAAAAAAAAAAAATTAGGCATGATGGCCTAGGCCTATAGAGCCCCAGCTACTGGAGATCTGAGCTGAGAGGATGACTTGAGTCCAGAAGTTTGAGCTTGCAGTGAGCTATGATTATGCCACTGCCCTGTAGTCTGGGCGATAGAGTGAGACCCTGTCTCAAAAGAAATGAATAAATAAATAGAAGGATAACTAGAAATGGATATTTGCATGCCTTGAAAATGGGTTTATGAGTCAATTATTTGGCATCCCAAATAAACTCTTAAACTCTTTTTCTTCAGAAAAGGAAGGACATAGAAAAAATAGGGGTAGGAATAGGGAAGATAGTTGGTTGCCTAGGCCAGGTGCTTTCATTTGGCCTAATTGGCTCATTTACCCAGCTTATTTAGTAAGGATCACCCATTGCTATCAGCTGGAACAGGACCACTGAATCCTGTTGGCCTAATAAGGGCATAAAGGTAGTAGAGTATAGTGGGGTGGGGGTGGGTGGTATGGATATTGCTTCTATGTTCTGGTGTTCCAGCTGGCACCCTATTAGCATTTGTTTTTCCAGTGAGAGGGCCTGGGAGTTTTTCTTTTGTTTCTGAATTTCTGAACTGTTTGGAAAGCTGGGAGCTTTGTGTAACCATCTCTGTCTGATAGAACTATAACATGAGCCACATATGTCATTTAAAAAAAATACACACTAAAAAGCAATGACATTAATTTTAACAGAACATTATATATATTCAGATTATCATTTCAACATGTAATCAGTTTTAAAAATTAGTGTCTTACATTCTCAGTTTTTTTTAGTACTAAGTTCAAATCTGGTTTGTATTTTATAATTAGAGTATATCTTAATTTGGACTAGCTGCATTTCATATGCTCAGTTGCATCCTATATGTAGCAATTAGTAGCCTCCATATTGGACCTTTCCTAAGCTGATCAAGCCATTATGAAGTCTTTCTTTTTTTTTTTTTTTTTTTTGAGATGGTGTCTTGCTCTGTTGCCAGGCTGGAGTGCGGTGGTGCAATCTCAGCTCACTGCAATCTCTGCCTCCCAGGTTCAAGTGATTCCCTTGCCTCAGCCTCCTGAATAGCTGGGACTACAGGCACGTGCCACCCACCATGCCTGGCTAATTTTTTTATTTTGGATTTTAGTAGTGATGGGGTTTCACCCTGTTGGTCAAGATGGTCTCAATCTCCTGACCTCGTCATCTGCGCGCCTTGGCCTCCCAAAGTGCTGGGATTACAGGTGTGAGTCATCATGCCTGGCGTATGAAGTCTTTTTTTAAGGGGTATGGATGTGTGTGTGTTTATGTGTGTTAAAATGTACATTGTTTGTAAAAGAAAGCCAGTTTAACTTTTGACCAATGAGTAAAGTAACTACAGTTATCTTTTGATTAGATTGGAAGCAGAGGAAGCTGAAGAAAAGTAATGTAGTTTCCTTAAAGGCATACAAAGGACTGGCAGAAGTTGCTGTGAAGAGCTTGTGTGAGCTGTTGGTGGCACTACCCCATTTTAACTTTCACAACAACATTATCGTATTGATTGTCCCTCTCATGAATGACGTGTCAAAATCGGTGAGTTGCTATAAATGGTTATTGCTGTCCTCCTTAGAAAATTATATACTATGTGTGCCGGGTGCGTTGGCTCACGCCTGTAATCCCAGCACTTTGGGAGGCCGAGGCAGGCAGATCACGAGGTCAGGAGATCGAGACCATACCGTCTAACACGGTAAAACCCCATCTCTACTAAAAATACGAAAAATTAGCAGGGCATGGTGGTGTGTGCCTGTAGTCCCAGCTACTTGGGAGGCTGAGGCAGGAGAATGGTGTGAACCCGGGAGACAGAGCTTGCGGTGAGCTGAGATCGCACCACCGCACTCCAACCTGGCAATAGAGCGAGACTCTGTCTCAAAAAAAAAAAAAAAGAAAATTACGCACCATGTGATTTTTCTCCCCCTACAAAATTCTTCCGAATTTATTTATTGCTAAAATAATATCAATTTATTAAACACTCTCTCTGAAGAAATTTATCTGAACATAAGTTTAGTGGTTCACAACAGGAAGCAGTTTTGTCCCCCAGGGAACATTAGGTAATGTCTGCATACATTTTTGGTTGTGATGACTGTGGTGAAGATAGAGTCTTAACTACTGGCATCTAGTGGAGAAAGTCCACGGGGGCTATTAAACATCCTAGGACAGTCCCCCTACAACAAAGATTTCTGTTACCCAAAACGTCAGTAGTGCTAAGGTTGAGAAACGCTGGTTAAGTGTGACATTTTATTTTTCAGATATCTGAAATGTGTTGTGAAGCTGTAAAGAAACTCTTTAAGCAAGATAAATTAGGCCAAGCTTCTCTTGGTGTAATTAAAGTGATTTCTGGTTTTGTGAAGGGCAGAAATTATGAAGTTAGGCCAGAGGTGAGCCTTTCTTTTTTTACTTTGCATTTTGTTTTTAAATTACAAAGTTGACTTTCAGTTGTTATGAGGAATTTATTCCTTATAAGCGTATGAAGTAAAAAGTATTCAAGCTCTTTAAGTGTTTAACATGTTAACTCCTGAAATGTTTGATACTATTAACAGTTTGGTATTTATCCTTCTAGGTGTTTTTCTATGCAGATATAGTCATATATACTTGCTTATATTTTAAAATAAAAAATCGGCTTGTACTTCGAAAACTGTTCCAGAACAGTTTTCATTTTCTATATTGTGAACTTACATATAGGGTTATCCCATTCTTTCTAGTGCCTACCAGAGTATTCCATTGTGTGCCCTAATTGATGAACAGCTGAGTTTTTTCTAGATTTTTGCTGCCACAGTCAGTGTTGAGAACATTTTGACCTTACTATTTTTTAATATTGTGTGAGTATTTTGTGAATTAAACTTATAAAATGTAGATGCTGGATCTAACAGTAATCACGTTTACAAACTCAAACTGTTGTTCAAAAACGTTTAATCACTGTGTTCCTGCTAGGAGTGTCATTTCCCTCCTACCTGCTCAGAATGTTACTATTTAATCTTTGGTAGTCTGGTAGTTTATATATATATAAACTTTTCACCTACCAGACTGCTTATTATTCGTCAATTTTTCTCTTAAATTGTCTTAGTGACTTGTGATGAGTTTTTAGTACATACTCATTTTAATAAATATCTGCTATGTGCCAGGCACTTTTTTTAGGTCCTGGGAATAAAATAGTAACAAAAGAAACAAAACTGTCTGTGGAGCTTGTATTACATAATAAGAATATTAACTCTTTGTTACATATGTTGCAGATTTTTCTCTTTTTTACTCTGCCTTTTACTTCTGTATTGAGCCTTATATATGGAGATATATTTTTTGTTATGCACGTAGTCTCCTCAATCCCAATTTACGGAGTCTTTCTAAGATTTTTAATTTTAATTTTTATATTTAAATATTTAAGCCATTTGACATCTTTATATGTGTGGTATAAGTACAGATTTAATATCTGTGTTTAATGTATGTAATGAATATGTATTTTATAGTTTAATGTATATTAAATATGTATGTATTTGAAATAATTTGACAGCCAGTTATTTCATCACCATTTTTTTCTGCTGATATAAAATGCTGCTTAATTATTGTGTTATATCTATAGTATATTTGGGTACCTGGTACCGTAATACTAATCAGAAAGGGTATGATTGATAAAAGACATGACTATTCTTTTTTCTCCAAAATATTCTTATTTATTTCAGTATATTACTCCAGGCAATTTAAAATCCATTTTTCACTTCCTTCCCTCAAAATAGCCCACACAGAGAATCTGATTAGAATTGATTCAATGTATTGATTAGTCTGGATGAATTAAAATATTTACAGAATTGATTTTTTTCTGTTCAAGAATATTGTATCTTGCCATTTGTTTAAGACTTTTATGTTCTTAAGTGAAATTTTATAGTTTTCTTCATTGGGGTCTTAGATATTTTAATTTGTTTTTAGTAATACAGTTTTGGGTGTTAAGCTGTTCTACCATTTTATTTCTGGATTTCACAGTTTTCCTTTGGCATCAGATCCCTTTTTATTTTCTTAAAACTGATTTCAGTTGAATTGCTAAAATTATAAACATTGAATGAAAGTAACAGAACATATTTAGCATCTTTAGTCAGAACTGTAGAGCAATCAGATAAGGCTTAAACATGAAACTCAGCCATAGGAGAACTCTTTAACTTTCACGATGCTAGAATAAAAACCACATCCTTTGACTTGGAGTTACTTTTCCTTGGTAGGTGATATTTTGAGCACATACAGTACCTACAGAATATTCAGAGTTGATCTTTCTGATACCTAGAATGACTTCAGGTTCACTCTTTATGCCTTTAGTTATTCCTTGTTTCGTTCTGTGCTTTTAGTCCTCTAATCTCAAAAACTCAGCTTTCTTCCAGATGTGCATATTGGAACATCAAAATAATACAAACCTGTATTTCTCAAGGTTTTTTCCAGGAATGCTTCTGTGCCTGCAGGAGGTCGGTAGGGTGATTTCATCCAGAGAAAGTGTAGCGTTTTAAACCCCTTTTGTTCTTAGTGTTTGAGTATGAGAAGTTTGCTGTATCACACAAAAACACCAGTTTCTAAATTAGTTTCTGAATTTTTGAGTGGCATAAAGCAATAATTTTTATTTTCGTCCCCGAACCAGCATCAGCTGGGAATTAGAATGCAAATTCTGGGGCTCAACTCAGACCTACTGAATCAGAAACTCTGGGGATAGAGCCCAGCAGTTTGTGTATCTTCTTCTCCCATAGTGGTCCAAACCTTTTTCTGGCCTATTTTCTCTTTGTCATCCTGTTGGCATGTGTTCTCTCTTCCTCATACTCATTAAACTGCAAAGAAAGTTTTGTATATTTAGCTAGTATTTGCTAGTGTCCTTTTTGTGTATTTGCTCCTGTCCTTCCGTAGATGCAAGTTATTGAATGTAGCATACAGATAAAAGAACTTGGTGTAAAATGTTATAAAAGATGCTTGAAGGTTTTTTTTCTTGAATGAGGGAAATAACACTGTCAAGTACTTTTCTGTGTAAAGTTTTTGAGGGCAATATAAATATTAAGCTGTATATTTGTGTTTTTTTTCAATATTAGATGTTAAAAACATTTTTATGCCTAAGAATCAAGGAAGTAGAAGTGAAAAAAGATACAGAAGACATTAATAAACCAAAAAAATTTATGACTTTCAAAGAAAAGAGAAAATCTCTATCAAGAATGCAGAGGAAGGTTTGACTTATTTCCCCTTTTGTTTCATTTAAATTTTTCTGTTTATTTGATCTTAAACTTATAGTCACAGGTAAAAATCAGTTAAATCATAAATATACAAGTTTTGAAATATATCATTTAGAGAATTTTATCTTTCCCAGTTACTGCAAAAAAATGTTTTCTTAAATCAATTTTAACTGATAATGATTGGCAAGGAGAGCAATAGATGAAAAGATATTTTTGCCATGCTGGCTTTTATCCTTTGGCTTTTTAGATCAATTTAGAGTTGTGATACACAGATTCCTTACTTAACAGAAAAGATGCATTCACATGAAGTTGGCAGCAAAGTGAGTTTCTGTTAATTGAATCTTGTTTCTTTATTGGTTTGTATTTTAAACTTGGGTTGAAATTTCAGCCCCTTGTTTATTTACTGAAAGGTTGGAAACTTTTTTTTTTTTTTTTTTTTTTTTTTGAGAAATGGGGCTAATAGTACCTACCTTGCAGGTAATCGTGCAGTTTAAATGAGATGATGCTTATAAAACACTTGGCAGGCTTTATAAACATTAGTTTTTACTACCACCACCATCATCACTATTACTGTTATCACAGCTCAGAACATTTCTAAACAGTTTATTAGAGTGATCAAGTTGCTTTTAAAAACAAAAGTAATCTCGGGATATTCATGTTTGAAGGGGTCTAAGTTTGAAAACATGATGGAAGTATCAAAATAGACTTAATAATTGTGAACAAAAGAAGATAAATATTTTAACTATTTATATCATACTATCCTAATGCAGGTTGGATAGCTCTGTTAGGAAGAGCATGTTTATAGATGTGGTGGGGAAACAAAGACCAGTAAGAACATGGCAGCTCTTTAACAACTTCTCATGAGAGAAGGAAACAGTTTCTCAGTTCCCTGTGCCTCAGGCAGCTTAGAAATTATCATTTACTGCTCTTACAGCATTAGGAAGTAGAAGAAAAAGGATATTTTATTGAATTTCTTTATAGTATCTGGTTTGATGCATTGTATGTAAATATGTTAGGGAAGTATTGTTGGTGACTGGCTTCCAAGTTATAGGTGATTTAACTATTTTGGGCTCAACATGTTCTTTCCTTTCATTTGAAGAACTTTAATTACAGAAAATGATAGCATATCCCAGATACCTACTATTTAGAGTGAGCAAATATTAATAGATTTACTTTAGTTTTTTTCCTGGAAAAGAGAGAAACCGTACGTTAGAGAGTAGGAATTTCTTTTCTGTCTCCAATTTCATTCTTCTGCTTTCCTCCCAGGAGACACCATCTTTAATTTGGTTTGTGTATACTTCCAGTCCATGTTTCTCTACTTTTGTTTATATTTGCATTCATAGACAATATGTGGTATTACTGTATGTGTTTTATGACATTTACGTATTCTGCCTCTGCTTTTTTCACTCTGTGGTATATACTCTTAGATTTTTTTTTTTCAATCTATTTTCAGTGGAAGAAAGCAGAAGAGAAACTAGAGCGAGAGCTTCGAGAGGCAGAAGCTTCAGAGAGTGCTGAGAAAAAACTTAAACTGGTAGGCAGTTTCATATTCTGTTATGCTTTTAATGTTAAGTTGTTTAAACTAGAAATTTATTGTTTCAACTTGTAGCTGTGTAATTTTGGTTTCTTTCATGAGGCTTAGATGTGTGACTTTTGTGGTGTGTGGAAAACTATGATGTGATCAGTGCTAGTTTTATGAAGTCACAGAATGTATGTCTTCGTTCTGTTTTGTTAAAAATTTCAAAGATTGCGTTGTGGGGAGGCATGGGTAGGGAAAAAGAAGTTTAACCTGTTGAAGTCGTAGTTATGCTTGCTCAGTAGAAACCATACCAGGGTATCCTAAAGTCATTTTGTCTGTCTCCTCTGCCAGCACACAGAGACTCTGAATATTGTGTTTGTAACCTACTTCAGAATATTGAAGAAGGCCCAGAGGTCACCTCTCCTGCCAGCAGTTCTAGAAGGTCTTGCCAAGTAAGGGCTGTGTAGGTTGAAATCTTTTAGATTCTTTCTAAACAGGAAAGACCAAAGAATTTTAGAGGGTTCCCTAATGATGGCCCATTATCCTCAGTTCTCATTCCTTTCTGTTTGTCACCATCCTTTCCTTGAAGCTATTCATAACAGTGAGCTTTTTTGATTTTCTCATCTCAAACCTTTTATTTTTTATTTTTATTTATTTTTTTTTGAGACGGAGTCTCGCTCTGTGGCCGGGGCTGGAGCGCAGTGGCCGGATCTCAGCTCACTGCAAGCTCCGCCTCCCGGGTTTACGCCATTCTCCTGCCTCAGCCTCCTGTGTAGCTGGGACTACAGGCGCCCGCCACCTCGCCCGGCTAGTTTTTTGTATTTTTTTAGTAGAGACGGGGTTTCACCGTGTTCGCCAGGATGGTCTCGATCTCCTGACCTCGTGATCCGCACGTCTCGGCCTCCCAAAGTGCTGTACCAACTCCTTCTTTCTGCCTATTAAATTCGAGGTGTTCCTAAGGTTAAATCTCTCAGTTCTTGACTCTTTCTGCACTGTGTAGTCAATTGCCTATCGTCATAGTTGGAGTGGATCATGTCGATGACTCTTAAGTCTATTTTAACCTGGCTGTACATCATTTCTCTAGTTCTGTGTAATCTGTTTCTGCTAAGATAGATCTTTCTGTGTATTCACTCAGCACTAATGGCCTTGTCAGGATGTGAGCTAGAGTAAGGGTTGTGGTTGTCATGATAGCGTTCCACAATTTTTTGAGGTGGTATCCTGTAGAACATTGCTATTTGGTAAAAATATGATGTGAACTTACATATATAATTTAAAATTTTCTATTAGCCACATTAAAAAGGTAAAAAACACATGAAATTAATTTTTATATATTTTACTGGATTTATCTAAAGTATTTTAACACAATATTAAACATTAATGGGATGTTTGGTGTTTTTTCATCACATGTTTTCGAACACTTATTTTATGCTTGTGTCTTAATTTGGACTAGCTACATTTTAAGTGCCTAATAGCCACATGTGGCTAGTGGCTACCATTGTTGGGCAGCACAGCTTTAGGAATAGAGTTGGAAATAGAACTGATGGCTAGAAGATATAGAAAAGGCAAGTTCTGTTCATCATAAGAAATTACTTTCTAATGACTGGAGCTATTTGGCAATGGTATGCATTTCCTTATATGGTGATATGGTCCTTGTGGTTGAAAATCTTCAAAGAGGCTAATCAGAGAAGGGATTATTACTACATTGTGTAGGACCTGATGTTTTTGTTTTTAAATTGAGACAAGCTCTCACCATATTGCCCAGGCTGATCTTGAACTCCTGAGTGAGTCATCCTCCAGCCTTGGCCTCACAGAGTGCTAGGATTATAGGTGTGAGCCACCATGCTCGACCCAGCTATTTGTTTTTTAATGACTAATTCCTTTATTTAAAACAGTTTAAAAAATAATATATGCTCATTTAAAACATTTAAAATTTAAAAATGCAAAAGAATATACAATTTAAAATTGCAAGCTCCCCCCCATATATGTATGTAGTCTGTCTGCATGCCATCTGCCATCATTTTTTTTTTTTTTGGAGATAGTGTCTTGCTCTGTTGCCCAGGCTGGAGTTCAATGATGTAATCTGAGCTGACTACAGCCTCCATATCCCAGGTTCAAGCAGTCACTTGCCTCAGCCTCCCGAGTAGCTGAGACTATAGGCATGTGCCATCACACCTGGCTAATTTCTGTAGTTTTAGTAAAGATGGGGTTTCCTCAGGTTGGCCTGGCTGGTCTCGAACTCCTGACCTCAGGTGATCCATCCGCCTTGGCCTCCCAAAGTACTGGGATTACAGGCATGAGCCATCGCACCCCGCCTGCCTGCCATCTTTCATGCAAATGGAATCATGCTATGTTTAGTGTCCTGTAACTTGCTTTTTTTTTGGTTTTGTAAACAGTTACTTTTGGTACCTCTCCCTTATCACGTATATATCACTTAATTTTTTAAAAATTTATAATACTAGGCCGAGGCGGGTGGATCACAAGGTCAGGAGATCGAGACCATCCTGGCTAACACGGTGAAACCCTATCTCTACTAAAAAAATACAAAAAATTAGCTGGGCGTGGTGGTGGGCACCTGTAGTCCCAGCTACTTGGGAGGCTGAGGCAGGAGAATGGCGTGAACCCAGGAGGCAGAGCTTACAGTGAGCCGAGACGGCACCACTGCACTCCAGCCTGGGTGACAGAGCAATACTCCATCTCAAAAAAAAAAAAAAATTTATAATACTCCATTTTATAGATATATTGTACTTTATTTGGTCAGTCCCCTATTTGCACTGGAAATACTTGCGCACGTGTGTGTGTGTGTGTGTGTGTATGTGTATATCTTCATGCACATGTGTGCATGTATTGCCAGATCAGAGGGTATGCTCATTTTAAATTTTGATAAATAATTGCCAAATTGCTTCTCCAGAAAGTTGTACTAATACGCATGGAATATATCACTCATAAGGTCTTTTATTCTTCTACGATTTACGTAGATCAAAGACTCCTCACTAATATTGAAGAGATATCCTGACTTTAACCTACTTCAGTGTCTAATATAGTATATGGAGTAACTCTCAAATTTAGCAGCTCATATGATTCCTTTTTACCCTCTTGTGTGGTCTCAGTTATTTCTACAAATAGAGACCTGGGACAGTGAAGTGAGTTACCCAGGATCATGCAGGTAATTAAGGATCCAGTATTCTTTCCATTTTATCCTTAAAGCTGTCATAAGGTCCATATTCTTGGAAGCAGCAGAATCTTTCCTCGTCTCTCTTCCCACCACCTGTTGTCTTAGAGCTGGTCCTGCTGGATACCTAGTAAACTTTTCCTCAGGAAGTTGTTTGCTTCTGGTAATTTCTTTCTCAGTGCAGAAGGATTTTTGAAATATTTTTGGTTTGTTCAATGCCTTATATGTTTCTACTGAGTTTAGTGTTCAATGGTGCATGAATTGTTGACTAGGCCAATCTGAATTAATGAAAAGTATCAATAATTGCCGTCTCTTTCATAGCTAACATTTTGAAATAAAGAATATTAAAAATACAGTTTTAGAGTCAAGCTTAATTTCTACCAGCTTTATTTCTGCTTTTAGTTCATTGATTAAGTTTTGTTTGATTCCAGGTTTGCTCACCTTATAAATGTGGAATTTTTTGATGATCTGTTAGTAGTTCTTCATACTCTTATCGAGTCTGGTGTAAGTAGTAATAAATTACTTTTTAAAAGATATAAATGGTAATTACTATTTTAAAAATTTGTCAGGTTTATTGAGATATATTTTGTATACAGTAAAACTCACCCCTTTTAGATGTACAGTTTATGAATTTTGACAAAGGCCTATGATCATATGATTACCACCATAATCAAGATGTAGAACGTTTTCAAACATTGGAGAGTTTTAAACAGGAGGGTTGCCTGACCTGTTTTCTTTGTTTTTTAACTGATGCATAATAGATGTACATGGTTTCAGGGTGTATGTGATAATTAAATATATTTGTATAATATAGTTTGTAAAGATTTTACTTGGGATATCAGTCACCTTAAATATGTGTCTTGATGTGACAACCATTCAAATTCTTCCCTCCTAGCTATTTTGAAATAGATAATAGATTATTGTAAACTATAGTCACCCTGTCAATCTGCCTCATACTAGGTTATCTTAAAGCTAACCTTTGCAGGTCTTTTTATTCTTTTTTGAGGTAGGGTCTCACTCAGTTGCCCAGGCTGGAGTGCAGTGGTGCAACCACAACTCACTGCAGCCTCGACCTCCCGGGGCTCAGGCGATCCTCCCACTTCAGCCTCTTGAGTAGCTGGGACTACAGGTGTGTGGCACCATACCTGGCTGATTTTTCTATTTTTTGTAGAGATGGGTTTTTGCCATGTTGCTCAAGCTGGTCTGGAACTCCTGGGCTCAAATGATCTGCTTGCCTCAGCCTCCCAAATTGCTGGGATTACAGTCATGAGTCATTGCTCCTGGCCTTAAAGGCCTTTTTAAAAGATATAAATGGTAATTATCATTCTTAATATTCCATCCCCCCTCACCCCCCCCCTTTTTTTTTAAGGACCTAAGCTATCAAGAAAGTCTTCACTGTGTCCAGACTGCTTTTCATATTCTTTCTGGACAAGGTAAGATATTTTCTTAATCTCGAGTTTTGTTTGCCTTACCTTTGAATGCTACAACATACCTAATTGGTGTTTATTGTCATTTGAAAGGTGATGTTCTGAATATTGATCCAATGAAATTCTACACACACCTCTACAAAACACTATTCAAATTACATGCAGGTATGTATGTTTAGATAATGTTTCTTTTATATGTATTTATGTTTTAAGAATATGTTATGACCAGTCATTGTAGACAAATGAGAAATAGGAACAGGTACATAAAATGCTGACTTGCCAGTGCCATGCATCTGTATTTAATCTTATGTAAGACTTGGAGAAAGAGCTTCTGGAATTGACTGGAGATGCAGTAAGTATAGCCCGCTGTATCTCCTTAGCAATATAGCACTACCTCATTGATTAGAGAAATGGTTTGGGACAGGTACAAAAGTTTATCTTGGGTTTATCTGAAGTTCAGTCCAGTTGCATAATGGAAAAGTAATGAGAACAGCTCTGAGGGATATGTCTGCTGTTTTAGGTGCTACCAATGAAGGTGTTGAGATTGTACTCCAGTGCCTTGATGTCATGCTAACTAAGCGCAGAAAGCAAGTTTCTCAGCAGCGAGCTCTTGCCTTCATCAAACGCCTTTGTACCCTTGCTCTTCATGTTCTTCCAAATTCAAGTATTGGCATTTTAGCAACTACCAGAATATTAATGCATGTAAGTAGTGACACAAATGAACAGAGCTAAGTTCTTATAATGCAGTGATTTTTTTTTTTGTTTGATGCATGTCTTTCCCCCTTTTTATATTATTTCAATTACAGAAGTAATTCACACTTGTAACAAAATCAGGTGACAAAAGAATTATATGAAATTGAAAAAAAGCATTTTGTACCTATTGACACTTCTCAGAGTGTCATTAGCTGGGTGTCCATTTATCATTTGGTGGGTATTTTTCTCGCAGTCTTTTAAAGTTCATATATAAACACATACACATAGAAACAACACAACTTTGTATTTTAATGGAAAGAGGATTATGCTATATATTCTACCACTTTTTTAACCTTAGCATTTTAATCGTGGTAAACACATAATGTCACTACTCTTATCTCTTTAATGTCTATGTAAGGTTTATTTAGTTCTTTGCTTAACAAACACATAGTTCTGACTATGTGCCTTCCACTGTTATGCCTTACAAAAATTTAATTTTCATAACTCTGAGGTAGCTACTATTCTTATTCCTGTTTTACATGTGGGAAAACTGAGGTCCGGAGAGGTTAAGTGTCTTGTCTTGAGTAGCAGTGCCAGTCAGTGGTAGAAGTGATATTCAAATGTAGGCAGTCTGGTTTTTCTATTTCTCTTGATATAGGTTATTTCTTTTTTTGCTATTACAAATGATGCTATAGTGAATATCTTTTTGTATTTATCTGATGTAATTATTTCTATCAGATTTCTAAAAGTGGGATTGCAAGGTGAAAAGAATATTGTTTTCTTTTGCAAGATAACATTTTAAAGACAAAGATAAAATTTTTTTTGCAACTTTTGTTCTTACGATATAAACTTAAAATTGTTTTTTATTAAAACTAGGTGTAAACACTTTACACCTAAAGAGCTAAAGCTCTTCTTATACAACTATAAATTTAAATGCAAATACAACTACAAACCAGTAACACCTTTTACATTAACAATGTTAATTTAACCAATTCTTTTTATGTGACATTTTTGCAGACTTTCCCCAAAACAGATCTACTGCTTGACAGTGAATCTCAGGGAAGTGGAGTTTTCCTCCCTGAACTGGATGAGCCTGAATACTGCAATGCTCAGAACACTGCTCTGTGGGAACTACACGCTCTGCGGGTAAGAGTGGCCCTCGTTTTTTTCTTTTTGGGGATGTGTGTGAACAATTGTTTTCCAGTTTTTCTTCAAATAGTTGTTATTGCCAGAGTACTTAATTATATTTTGTTCTGGGGCTGCTTTTTTTTAGAATTCCTGTGTTAGAATGCTACATTTTACTTTGCTCTTACTATTTTTTAAGCTGTTGAGGTACATTTTCTAAGGAAGCAGAAAACTGTCAGTTCTGTGGGGTGAGGTTGTGGAAGATTTACTGAAATCTTTCCCTTTATTGAAATCTTTCCCAAACACTCTTCAGAGGATTTGTTAGCAGGTGCATTTCTGTTGAGTCCTATCCTAGGAGACTTTAGTAAGCCCTGTTTCAAGATGGTTTCACCTATACAGTGATCCTACAGTGTGGACAACATTAGAGTGAGACTTGTAGAAAATAGAAGTGGCAGGTAACCTGTTGTAAATTAACTTTTTTCACTCGGAAAGAGGAATTGCTTTTTGATTTTTCTATTTATATTGTAAAAGCAAGATAAACTACTTCACTGGTAACTTGATTTGTGTTTTAATCCTATGAGCAAAGATAATATTTCTGTGGCTATGTGCTTCTAATGAATTACATATACTGTACATAGGTGATGAAAAAAAAATTTGGTGTACTTTTAATTAAGAAAATCTTTGCTGTGGCTAGTGTTTTTTTGTAAAGGACTGACCTGTGCAAAATGTGATTGTCCTGTTTCCCCTTCAGAGGCATTATCATCCCATAGTGCAGAGATTTGCAGCCCACCTGATCGCTGGAGCACCTTCTGAAGGCTCTGGAGCACTCAAACCAGAGTTGAGTCGAAGGTAATATTTAGCATTGCCTTATTCTAAAACTACAAAATTCAGCTGGTAGCCACTTACTATGAGAAGTCTGTTTTATAAAGTAATATATTACACAATGTAAAGTGCCAGTTGGGTATCTGGGTTGGTCTTGCTTCATATTCCTGAATTGTTCTGAAAGAAAACATGCTATGATTTTGTTAATCACTTAAAACATTTTTTTTCTTCTTATGTCATTCAACTTGAAAAACATTTTTTTAATCATGAAAAGTTTCACACATACAGGAGAGTAGAATGGTATAGTGAATGTCCATATGTCCCCCATCACTCAGGTTCAACAATGAATAATCTATGGCTATAGGTGCTTCATGTGAAGATAAAACACAAGTCAACCAAATTAAGTTTCCTTGCTTTCTTGCTCTCTCTCTTTTTTTTTTTTCTGAATGGTCCTGTTAGGGCAAGAAGAGGAGAAAAAAACAGTGAGGATAGGGAAGAAAAGAGGTGCTTTGGAACACTGCCATCCAGAAGGGCAGCTGTTTCTTTTTTTGGCCCTTGCAGACTACCTTCTGACCTGTAAGCAGCTTGGATGGGTACTTCCAGCACCCACCTCACACCCAGATGAGGAAAAAGTCCTCCTAAAAGAATCTTCTTTTCCCTGAACTGTTGATTTAGAAAATTTTCACAAGTACAGAAAGGTGAAAAAATAATAGTTACTTTTTTTATTTTTTTGAGACGAAGTCTCGCTCTGTCACCCAGGCTGGAGTGCAATGGCGCGATTTGGCTCACTGCAACCTCCGCCTCCCGGGTTCAAATGATTCTCCTGCCTCAGCTTCCCGAGTAGCTGGGATTATAGGCACCCGCCACCATGCTCGGCTAATTTTTGTAATTTTTGTAGAGATGGGATTTCACCATGCTGGCCAGGCTGGTCTCGAACTCCTGACCTCAGGTAATCTGCCCACCTTGGCCTCCTACAGTGCTGGGATTACAGACATGAGCTACTGCGCCCAGCCAGTAATTACCTTTTTTTACATACAGACAGGAAATACTTCAGTTATACAGAGAAAGAGAGAAAATGGTATAAAAAATCCCTCAGTCCATTTATGGTGCCATAAAAAATGCCTAAGACCGGGTAATTTATAAACAACAGAGGGCCAGGCTCGGTGGCTCACACCTGTAATCCCAGCACTTTGGGAGGCCGAGGCGGGTGGATCACCTGAGGTCAGGAGTTTAGGACTAGCCTGGCCAACATGGTGAAACCACATCTCTACTAAAAATACAAAAATCAGCCAGGCGTGGTGGTGGGTTCCTATAGTCCCAGCTACTTGGGAAGCTGAGGCAGGAGAATCGCTTGAACCAGGGAGGTGGAGGTTGCAGTGAGTCGAGATCTCGCCATCGCACTCCAGCCTGGGCAACAAGAGCGAAACTCTGTCTGAAAAAAAAGAACAGAAATTTATTTTCTCACAATTTTGGAGGCTGGAAGTTGAAGATCAGGGTGCTGGTAGGTTTGGTTGACTGATGAGGGCGCCTCTCTGCTTCTGAGGTGGCGTCTTGTTGCTGTGTCTTCTGGAGGGGAGGAACCCTACACCCTCACATGGCAGACAGGACAGAAGGGGAGCAGGGCCACAGCTTAAGTTCATGAAGCCTCTTCTATAAAGACTTTAACCCATTTATGCCAGAGGTGGCAAATTATTTTGTGTGTGAAAAATCAGACCTTGGGTGATGACCTTGAGCAGTAGGATATAAATAACTCCTACAAGCTTAGGACAGTAGTAGGCATAAATGGGTTAATCCCATTCATGGCTTTCATCTCTTAAAGCTTTCACCACTTAATACCATCACACTGACTGTTAAGTTTCCATGTCTGAATTTTGGAGGGGACACATTCAAACTACAGCACCTTACAGTGTACTTATTACCCAGAATTAATATCTTGCTGTAGGTTTTTTCCTTTTGCAAGCCCATTGGTTTCTATAATTCAGAGATCTCAGATTGGTGACCTTTGGGCCAGGCTGATTTTTCTGGCCTCAAGAGTTTGAAAAAAATCAAATTAGTTGCTGTCTTTTAAATATTGAAAGAATTCATCTGAAATTCACATTTCCTGCTTTTCTTGAAATACTGGGAGGTTTGGTGACATTGGCTTATATTTTACATGACAGTAGTCAGTCATTTGCTGCCTCCTCTACATGAGGCAAGAGCTCTGCAGTTTTCCATGAATGCTTTCCTTCTGAGTAGGGTGGAGATAACTTTTGTCCTTATTAAATAAAATGGCCATTTACTTTTTCTTCCCTCACACTTCTCACCTGTCCCCAGTCTTCACCCCAACAGCCTTGTTTTTTAAAAGAGGAAAAAAGAAGAAAACAATTCTTTGTCACTCTTCATAATCATTATATGACATGTTTTCCTTAGCAGTTTTGCTAAGGAAAGATGTTTCCTTTGTGGAGAAGCATGAGGAATGGGTTTATCCCAAAGGCTTAAGAAAGGAGACTCATAGTGGGCTTCTGGAGAATGGGTATTGGGATGTGAGCCTAATTGCTACCCTCGTAGGCCCTTGCCTATCTGTTTTGGAGAGTGTGAGCTAATTCCAAGTCATTAAGGATTCATTTACACGCCATGGGTATAGACATGTATTCTGTCCTGAATGGCCTTTCCTTGTTTTTTATCCAGGCCAGTAGGAAAGAGTTGAGCTGTGTTCTAAGTCTATGGAGAATGACTCCATGCTTCAGTCCTCTGGCTCCCATGACTAAGATAGACTCAGTTGCATTATCAGTCGGTTGGGATTTGATCACACTGAACTGAAGTTCTTCAGCCTAGCTTTCTCTCTGGAGTCTCTGCCTGTATTGCTAATGTATACCAAACCTCTCTGAGGTGGATTTAGTTGGGTAATGTTGACATTACGTGGGAATTTAGAATTTGTTAAGTGACTGGGTTGGTTGGTTAGTTTCAAAAGCAGGACTATCTTATACCTTAATAAATGGGTTAAGAATGAATCATTCTCTGAGTATAATCTAATTATTTTTGAGTTACACAGATGTGGTGGTATCTTTACATTTGTGTTTGTGATTTAGATCTGCTGCTGAACTTTTTGAGGCGTATAGCATGGCAGAAATGACATTCAATCCTCCTGTTGAATCTTCAAACCCCAAAATAAAGGTATGGGATATTTTTCATTTTTTTAAAAGAAGAGATAGAAACCAATGTATCTCAATAACTCTAACTCCAGTTTGCTTAGTTATTTTATAGGCAGTTTATTTTTATTTTTATTTTTAATGTTTAGGAGTTCATCATAGGATGGATATTTGAGGTTGAAATTCTACAGAGATGGTCATGAAACTGTTTCATTCAATATAGGATATGTCCAAGACGTTACCAAGCATCTGTCATTGTGTTGCATGTGTTGGTGTCAGCTGTTGCCATTTTCAACTTTGTTCACAGGTTGACTTTAGCTTATAGCATAAGTAATTTCTAACTCATACTTTAAATATTTTCCCAGGGTAAAGTTTTACAGGGGGATTCATTTTTGAATGAAGATTTAAATCAACTAATCAAAAGATACTCCAGTGAAGTTGCTACTGAATTGCCTCTGGATTTCACAAAATATTTGAAAACATCACTACACTAGTAGAGGAATGAAGTCAGTGGACTTTCTTGTATACTTGTGTGTGCAGATGTACATAAAGATGAGTTGTTAACTTAGGACTTTTTCTTTTTATACAAGGAAAGCTTCCTAAGAATGACTAGGAAGAGGAGGAAGAATGACCCTTGGCATGGCACGGGGTTCTGCCCCTATTCTGAATATGGCATTTCATCAAGGAGGTCAAAGCCTTTTTTCTCCCCAGTATTTGGAAATTACTTTCTTAATGATGCTGCCTTTTAAAAGCTTCACGTGCATTATAGTTTTTTAAAAAGATCTTTGGACTGGATCTTACTGAAGTGCAGTTGCTATATTAAAATTAGGGCAGAGAGCACAGAAAAATCAAGACCATGAGAAGACATTTAGCTACTTTTTATAACTAAATACTCTTTAAATATTTTCATTGCAATACTGTGGATGGAAATGAGAAGCATTCTAAATTTGAGTTAATATATTTTTATGAAGATTTTTGAGAAAAGAAAAAAATAGCCGGTATTCAGGTTCATTGGCTTTTGCTGGATGATCCACTTAAGTTACCTAATTTGGCCTTTTAAAAAAGGTATTAGTGTTCATTATAGCTACTTTCAAGGAAAGTTTGAATATGATTCTAGTCTCTGAAGTTCTTCACATTTTCTGTCATTCCCTGGAGGGTGACTGGGGAAGAATTGCTCTACGGTAGAAGAACCAGGCCCAAGACTTCACCATTCTATTCTAGGGACAAAGGATACTCAATGAGGAGCTTTTTTCCCCCTCTTGGAACAGGTAAAATGCTTTTTCTTCTTAACGTAATTATAAAACAGTATTTTATGTAACAGCTATTCCCATATTCTAAGAGTGGCCTAAGAAATGCGTGTTTCAGTGACTAAGTTACAAATATTCTGTATTGTGAATAGTTGAATAAAGCAGCCATTTGTTTCTGCTTCCTGTTCTTGTGATATGAGAATTTTTTAAAAAAAGCACAGCAGTCCAACTAAAGAGATCTCTTACTGTTTCAAAGTCATAGCAGCCAGTTACTTTACTCTGGAGCTTAGAGCTCTTTTTTTTGCATAAAGTAAACTAAAGTGGAAAATTCCTTTACTATTCCAGCAGAGTGAGAGGATATGAGCTTAACAGTGTATGTTAGTCTTTTAGCATATTGTATATGATTTTTAAAAGTGGTTCTGAGGTCACATTTTTTAAGGCTTGATTATTTAATGAGAAAGGTATGATTCAGCATATGAATATTTGCTTTTAGTCCACCTTTTAGATATAAAACAAAGTCCAGGAATGTGATAAATATGTGGATAACCAAAGGGTCTATCCCCATCAGAGCACAAGTGACCAATACATGTCACAAATCATTTATTTTCCAAACATATACAAATACATTTATACTTTAGTTTGGCAGCAGAAACTATACTTCTGGTGAAAAATCAGCTTAAAATAGAAACTCATCAGCTATTTCACAGCTGTATTATGCCTTTAATTTTCTTGTTATACATATGGAGAATCACAGTGGGACCACAAAATTATACATCTATATTTGAGTATCCTATGCGAATTTGAGGAAATATATTTGTGCTTTAACTTATATAAGCTTATATTGATTAATTTTATTTTTAGAACTAAATGTAGTTATGAGTAATCACACACACACGCACACACACACAGGCATGCACATATCCTGAGGCTATATTAAGCTACAGCCTTAATTTTTTTTTTAACTAGACAAATAATGAGCACCTACTGTGTGCTTAGCACTGTGCTGGCACTTAAGAGTGGGGTGGAAAATAATGAGTGTAAGACATAGCCTCAGTCTTCCATGTTGAGTCAAATCATTCACATAGCGCTTTTGAAAAATGTGACAGTACCCAATTTAGTGTTAGAATTACTTGTGTCAAAAGTTTAGAGACCTATGTCATCTGTAATAGGGAAGGTTTCAGAGGACTGTTTGGTGGCAGGCTTGTGCACAGTATGTTTTGAATCTAAGAGATGTATAAGAATAGGTAGGCCAGGTGCGGTGGCTCACACCTGTAATCCCAGCACTTTGGGAGGCTGAGGCAGGTGGATCATAAGGTCAGGAGTTCAAGACTAGCCTTGCCAATATAGTGAAACCCCATCTCTACTAAAAAAAAGTTAGCTGGACATGGTGGTGCATGCCTGTAGTCCCAGCTACTTGGGAGGCTGAGGCAGGAGAATCGCTTGAACCTGGGAGGTGGAGGTTGTGGTGAGCCGAGATCGTACCACTGCACTCCAGCCTGGGCAGCAGAGTGAGACTCTGCCTCAAAAAAAAAAAGAATAGCTTGGTAATCATGGAGACTCAGTATGTGTTTCAAAGGGACTCATTTCAGGTATTCCTCTGTCAGAATCCATAGCCATCAGCTACGGATTGCTTTTAGGAAGCTGAACATAGAGATGGCAGAGAACGCATAAATTATTAACAGTGGATCATGGGGAATATTGACCCAAGTCTAGACTCTGTGTAAGAGGCAATCTCCCTTTTCTTTCTAACTTTTTTGGGGTCCCAGGTATATCTTTTCTGGCCTCACTACTGATATATAAGCAACTGAAAAGGGGTCAGAGACTTTCACCGTGAGAGCACTTTCCCTGTAGGCTGCCAATATAAGATCAAAGACACCAGCCAGGAAAATCCTACTCTTCTTTATTGGCATGGGAGCATAGATGTGGAGCTTTGTATTTTAGAGTTAATTCAATTTTATTGGGCCAGTAAGCAAGCCCTGATTGCTTTTCAGAATTAAGCAAGGCCTGTGGGTCTCTGGGCAGAGGACAGAAGTCTATAGAGATACTGGAAGAGGAGAGAAGAAAGGAAGGGGAAGATGTAGTTAGCAAAAGGTAAATTGGTACATATCATAGAGGGCCCACTTTCATTAATGAGCTGCCAATGTCTCCAGAGCCATTGAGATGGGTGGCCTTTATGAAAGCAAGTTTGATTAAAAACAAGTAACTTGTAACTCAACTTTTGTTGAGTCTAGACTTCATATTTACTCCCAACTGGAGAATCTGTAAATAACTTTTACTTGCTAACGATGACATGAAAAGAAGCTTTACCCCTCAAAGGGCACTTTCTACCCAGATAGGATCATTACTTCCTACACATTTGGCATCACTGAACAGAGTGACAGAATTCATGCTCCTTTCTCTTGACTTTTAGTGATGCGTCTTAAAATATTGTAATGAACCCAACTTGCATATTTAGATTCTTGTGCACATCAACTTTAATGATAAGAGTTTGCTACCCAGATTTCTGGTAGCCTAAAAAGTGTGAAATGGTAATGGGTATAGTCATAGTGGTTATTTAGAATAATTTCTTTTACTTGGCATACCAATATAGCTGTGTAATTCAGATAAAGCTTTAAATAAAACTTTAATATTTTTGGCCAACATCAGGTTATGCTGGCCATTTGTGTGTAATAGTAGACTAGACTCTTTTTTTTTTTTGAGATGGAGTCTGCTCTTTCACCCAGGCTGGAGTGCAGTGGCGCAGTCTCCACTCACTGCAACCTCTGCCTCTTGAGTTCAGGCAATTCTCTCCTGCCTCACCCTCCCCAATAGCTGGGATTGTACGTGACCACCACTACGCCCAGCTAATTTTTGTATTTTTAGTAGAGACAGGGTTTCACCATGTTGACCTCGAACTCCTGACCTCAGGTGATCCCACCCACCTCAACATCCCAAAGTGTTGGGATTATAGGCATGAGCCACCGTGCCCGGCCAACTCTTTACATTTTAAAACAATGTGTTCTTTCTATAATCCCAAAGATCAAATACAATGAAGTATGTACTTGCACCTCAAAATGTGATAAACAACTAAGTTGGGATGCAACCTAGGCAGTAGGCTGAATTCTCTCACTTGCTAAACAATCTGGTCTCAACTTCAGTCTCAGATTTATGTTGTAAAATAGACACCTGTGTTAAAGGTCATGGAGGAGGAGTGGGGCAGCGCTTAGAAAGCATCAGAACCAAATGATAAACCTAAAGAGACCAGTCTTTTCATCTTGTTACTCTGCACAGTTTTCATTTGACCTCTAGCCACTTAGACCAGTAACTCAGTTTTCAACACGTGGTAGGGCAAACTGGTATGTTCACTTATAGAGGCTTGATAAAAAGTGTTTCCGGAATATTTTTTAAATGGAGCAGCATTGTGCATTTGTTACAGACTTATTTGTCTTAAACCTGTACTATTGTATAGATTACATCAAACTGGAATAGCCTGCATTCTGTTGACAAGAAAATAGTAGTTCTAGCCTTAAGGCTTTGACCCAGTAAGAACTTTCAATGACATGAAAGCTGTGTGGTGTATTTTTTTTTTTTTTTGAGACAGTCTTGCTCTGTTGCCAGGCTGGAGTTAGTGGTGCTATCTTGGCTCACTGCAACCTCCACCTCCCAGGTTCAAATGATTCTCCTGCCTCAGCCTCCCGAGTAGCTGGGATTACGGGCACGCGCCACCACGCCCTGCTAATTTTTGTATTTTTAGTCGAGATCGGGATTCACCATGTTGGCCAGGATGGCCTCGTTCTCTGTCCTGATCCGCCCGCCTTGGCCTCCCAAAGTGCTAGAGTTACAGGCGTGAGCCACTGTGCCCAGCCTGTGTGGTGTATTTTTAACACTTCTGTTTTTAGAATATACAAGAAACACATGGGGATGGTTTTATTTTTATAATTGGTTAAAAAAATTCCTCAAAGTGAAGTTTAGGAATTTTAGTGTTTTGTAATTTGAAGAAAAGTCTTAAAATTCAGAGGTACCAATGGAAAGATAAAAGTTTGGGTTTTACTTTAGAGGAATACATATTTCATGTTTAAAACTCATAATTTGCTTCATACCAAGAATATGAAGAATCCTTTACACTTACTTGATGGTTTTGTACAGCAAAATTTAAAAATAATTTACATTAAACGGCAAGTATGACTTGGATCAATAGCTCTTCAGTTAATCAGAAATGAAGCGATTTTACTTGAAAGTCTAGCCCATTTCAGATGTTCAGAGCATATATTTTCTTTTTAGAAGTTTGTCTTCAAGTACCGAGAACTACTAATGCTTCTAATCCATGGCAATATCAAGAGCGATGTATAATAAATATATAAGTACAGTGTCAGTACAACCCTTGTAAAATAAATAAATTTACCTTAAACACCAACTCAATCTACTTTTGCTTTAACAAATTGTTAGGTTTCTTGTTAAGACATTGCAATTTAGCAGATATTAAATTATACATCATTCTAATTTTGAAAACCAAAAATGAGTAATCTGTGATTAAGCAATAACCTTTTTTAAAGCAACCCTATTAACTGAATAAGCAATAACCTTAAAAAAAAAAAAACCCAATATTATTTCTATATATAAAAAAATCCTAAAGAGTGCATTGTGGTACACAATACAGGAACTAAATTGAATTTTAATGACTCTTACATTATAGGACATATTTACACTTGAAATGCTCCAAAGCTTCCATTCTCAGCCATAAAATGTATGGCCAAACTTCCTTTCTTGTTTTCAGATCTTTGTGCCCCTTGTTCCCAGTTCTCCTAGTTGTGTTGGGAAATTAAGGTCCTTGGGCCAAATCTAGCCTGCCACCTGTTTTTGTATGGCCCCTGAACTAAGAATAGTTTTCACGTTTTTAAATGGTTGGAAAAAAGTCAAAACAAGAATATTTGTGACATGTGAAAAATATATGAAATTCCAATTTCAGTGTCCATAAATAAAGTTTTATTGGAATACAGCCACGTTCCTTCATGTATGTGTTGTCTGTGGCTGCTTTTGCACTA